CGCGCCGCTGACGTTTTCAATAAAACACAAACTCTGATTGTGGAACAAACTTCTGATTGACGTTTTCAATAAAACACAAACTCTGTTATTCAGGAATATTAGAAAAAAAGGGCGAATGATGTGGATTTCCACGTTATGCTACATTTATTTTTGAATTTAATTAATGAGAACAACTTAATAAAAAATGAATATTTCGAAAAGATAAAGAGTGATGAAGATTTTTTAATTTCCACGGGCGTTATAAATAATTAAATCAATCCTAAGATTACACTTTAACAACAAAAACAAACAGACGGCCGATGGCCGAGCGGTCAAGGTTGCAGCCTACCGCTCTGAGGGACTCGGGATTGAATCCGAACGGGTCAAAAAAACCTTAGGAATTTTTCAGGGGTTGGTCCGTCCAGATATGTTGGGCCTTGTCCTTCACCACCCAGCCACCCCATTGTGGGCCAAACCAATAATGGACTTGCTGAAAGAGGTTCTCTTAGTTCCCGCATGGCGGAAAGAGTAAAAAAAAAAAAAAACTAAAACGAATTATGTGATTTTTTTTACGTAAATATACTAGTGTATTAAAACAATCTATTAATAATAACCGAATTTTAATTTATTCATCAAAAAATAAATTAAATTCTTGTCAACGCAAAATAGAGCTCTTACGACCGTTATGGTGGCTGCCATCTTGTTTGCTAGCTTATCCGGCACCGAAAACGGCGCTTACAGTTTGCTGGAAGCACGATGGCAGCAACCGGAAGTCGTCTGAGATTTCGAACAGAAACGCTGAGAGGTGCTAGTTGAATGCTGAGATTTTGAATATATCCTAAGATTCCATAAATTACAAAGTTTAACTATCTGTAATTTAGTTATATATATTTGTGAATCTAATAGATTTTATTTTAACAATTTCTGTCTTGGGTCCTACAATGGAGAATATGAACAGCCCACTAGTGGCCAAGTGGATAAACCATTGAACAATCTTGACTGTTCAACGGGCTGGCCACTTGGTTTTCCGGATTTTTTTTCCGTTAGAAACATATAAATAGGAACAGAGTTCGTATGTCTCCTCTATAAACACGATCTTTCCACAATCATACGGACTCTGCCTGAATTGAAAGCAAGCATAACAAGCAGTAGCCATAAATGAAACAACTGAAAACAATTGAAATTGAAAACAAGCATAGCGCCATATTGCTGCAATTTCTCAAGAAACCTATCGGGCTACTTTTTTTTTACTCTTTCCGCCCTGTGGGCACTAAGAGGGCCTCTTATACCAGGCCCATTAAGGGCCCGCTATAAGACAGAGGTACGGGGCCCGACATATCCGAACGAACCACCCCCGAAAATTTTCTGGGGATTATTCGACCCGTCTGGATTCGATCCCGGGCCCCCCAGAGCGGTAGGCTGCCACATTGACTGCTCGACCATCCGGCTATTCTGGTTAATTCTTGAACTCTGGTGAACATTCGGATTAGAAGGACATAACAATTTTTGTTAATTAGTCCACAAACCCCTTTTAGATGGTTAGATAAATAACCGATCAAGCCGACTAATATTGATGAATTTTTTTTTTATTGCTAATACGCGTTTCGGGTCTATACCACTCCTCTGTCGGCTTTTATTCCAATTTATTTAATATGCTCAACACCTTAAAAAGGAATAAAAGCCGACAGAAGAGGGGTATAGACCCGAAACGCATATCGGCAATAAACAAAAAATAAAGAATATAAAGAACGCTTGCGTCATACGTAAATTACACTTCACTATGTACACTAAACAAAAAATTTAAAATATATTTTGATATAAACATAGATGACGTCATCATTCCGTTACATTATTGTTTCTAACATCGAAGTTCACGGCAATTTCCTCTACAACGATTTTGCTAAATTGTATCATTATAGGTTTACAGTAACGTATAAATGCTGTACAGTCTCGGGCTCTCGGGCTCGAACATGTCTGGCCCGTCCCTCGCCATCCAGCAATTCACATTGTGGGTTGGCTCACGTACATGTATATAAAAAAATGTCTTCTTAGTGCTTCCATAGCAAAAGAAAACGGAAAAAACCCTGAACTATGCCTAACCGTCAAACTACAGTGAGTGATCGGTTAACGAACAGTTCCGACTACGAACAAATCGGATAATGAACACTTTCGCGAAAGATTTTTATGTTCGGATAATGAACACCTCTCAGAACAAATAAGAAACACAATAAGAAGCGACGTAAAATAACGAATAATGATTGGGCTTCCGTTGTCTTCAGGCAACAATTCAAAACTTTTCGGAGCGCGGGAGACGTCGACATCGACGCTCAACCCGATATATACAGATCGTATTCCTCCGAAGAACTTTGAAACTGTCCCTTGTAATTCCAGCTTTTATTTTTCTGACAGAAAGATTTTTTTTTAATAGTATTCGCGAGACTGTCGGGCGGACACTCGTTAAGTTTTGCGTGGGTTTTTATTTTCGAAAGGTGAGAGTATAATAGCAAAGGTAGAAAGTGGGAAGATGATGTCTGATGTTGCTGGGCAGTATGGCTTGAACAGGTCTACAGCAGGCCGCAGTTTAATCTTATCTAAGAAAAATACAATATAATCAAGAAAACTCGAACGGCTAAAGTAGTAACAAAAATTACATCTGAGAAATAAAGAACATTGAAGAGCTCATAATGGAACCTGAAACTGATCTGAGGACAGAAGCACGCCAAGAACTCTTGAATAAAGAACACCAAGAAACTCAGTGAGATATGTTTTGTTCTGAAAAAGAGGATTAATGTCGACATCTGCTATTAAAGATCTTTTGAAGAAGTGGGAGGATATCAGTACAATGGTCTTAGAATGGCATCCAAACCAGGATGAGGTTAATAACAGGCTTAGGTACCTTTACAACGACAATGCTATTAATTATTTCCGAAAAATCCTGAAGAAGACAGAAAAGCAATCGAAATTGGATAGATTTTTTAACCCCCACAAAGAGAATAAACATGACTGATAAAAATGCAAGGCTGTGTATATATTTAGAGGAGAGGAGGATATTATGGAATAGTCGGGTAATATGGAATATCGAGGTTTCGGCTCTGTTTGTTGCTGCTATTACGTGGGAATACCATGAACTACTCAAGAAAGACTCCCACGATGCAGTGCAGTGAGAGTTGACCGCTTGTTGTCATCGTACCACTCGCTAAAGAACAAAGTGTGTTTTGTGACTTTCAAGAGTTTTTGCAGGCAAGTTTTCAAACATTTTAACCTACTAGTACACACGTGACTTGAACATTGATGTTAAGATTGACTAAAAGAATTGTAGTTTGTTATACTGTAGTCGTTTTTTAGCTGATAATGTTTTGCCCATCATTTTAAAGGTTCATTTTCCAAGATTGCGTGTCGGGTATTATGGTACACTAGGATAAATGGATAAAACTGAAAGAAAAAGACAAAAATAAAAAAACAGAAACTTCAAAACAACAAAAGAAACCGAACATTCAAAGACCACCTGTTAAGAAATTAAACTTAGACCGACATTCTAGACCTAAACCTACTAGAAATGATTCCAGTGTTTGCAGCGATGAATCGTTACATTCTGATGTATCGTCTATAATGGACTTCATGCCATCAACTAAAGAACCAGAAAATGAAGACGCTGAATATATCTTCTTTAACGGAAAATTCTCCGAAGATGATCGAGGGAAAATTTGGATTCAATGCTTTAGCTGTTCTCCGTGGGCCAGTGGCGTAGCGTGGGTGTCAGCCGCCCGGGGCAAAGGAAAATTTCGCCGTCCCCTTATTTAGGTATCTCAATTTAAAAGACTAAAATTCAGTTTCGTCACAGAATAAGTAATGAAAAATTCCGTGTAGTGTTGCCACCTTTTTAAAATCGCTGACCGAATGAATCGTACAAGCAAAAAAAAAAAAAAAAAAAAAAGGTCGACAGGTTGCGCACGATATCCCCAGGTAAAATTAATAGTTGAATGGTAACACTATTCCGTGCTCATTTCAATCGGTCCGAATCGTAGGTGCGATAAAAATATGAAATGAAATGGTTCAAATTTTTACAAAATACTATTATTTATTGTGAAATTTTGCCGCCCCCTAAAAAGTGCCGCCCGGGGCGGGCCGCCCCTGCCGCCCCCACTACGCTACGCCACTGCTGTGGGCTCACCTTGATTGTACGGAGTAGAGAAAGAAAATTATATCTGTGACTTTTGTAAATAGACTCGAAGCAGGAATGACATGCACATAATCTTAAAAATATAATTCAAATTAATATAATTAAAAATATAATTCAAATTAATATTGAATTACATCAATATTAATTTGTATTGCGTATATTATAATATTTTCATCCAGTTTTCATCCATTCCATCCATTTTTTAGTTGACTGATGAGGGGCTTTATGCCCGAAACGTGCTGTTCTCACGTATCAACTAAAATGATGGAAATAAAGCTAAGTTTTTATTTATAACCCAAATGTGAGTTCGAAGTCCACAATACATTTGTTTTTATAACAACAAAATAAAAAGTACTGTATTTTTTTTACAAGTGACAATTCATTACAATTAGTTATAGTATGTACTCATGATGGTTTTGGGATTTTTATTCAAAAACCAGTAAAGTTATTTTTAGAAATGTAAATGGTATTCCATAATACCCTCCTCTCCTCTATTTTTATTATTACATATAAATAAACGTAATAAGAAAATATATAATTTTTTTATTATTTTTGGGGGCTCCAGAACGGATTAATGAAATTCCCATAAAAATCTATAGTAAATTAATAATCGGTTAACGAACAATTCGGATAGCGAACAAAGTCTTGGAACGGATTATGTTCGTTAACCGATCATCCACTGTAATTTCTTAAAAGACAGAATTATTATTATAAATTAAAATACTTAAGAAAGCTTTTAAAAATATGAACAATATTATTATTTTATGAAATATTTATCAAATTTTACAAAAATATTTGAAAAGAAAAAAATATATTTAATTAACTAAAAGCGCATTGAATGTGGCGCTGCAATCGTTTTTCTAGATTAACTTGGAGGCGAAAACGATTTTCTGTTCCATTTACTGTTTACCATTGTTTTTCGTTACAGCGAGTGACTCGTATTATATTCGTATTAACGGCAAGAGAAGCATAAAGGGCATCCAGTTCAAGGTCAAGCATAGATAATAACATGTCTGTCGCATTTGTGCCACATCAGAAAGGTCGTCCACCGCCGAGTCCAGCTCAAATACAAAAGGCAAGTTTTCTTGTCTTCGGCATGTTTAATGCCTTTTCATATATTAAGTTTAAATCATAATAATAAAACAATAAAACCTTTCTGAAATGTTTGTTCATTTAAATTGATAAGATTTATCACTATTTACATCATTATTTAGTTTATATATATGAATTAAAGGAAATAAATATATAAAATTAATAATTTCTATGACAAAAACACATCAGTTTTTTTCATTTCTTTTGTTAACATTGATCTTTACAGCTGATTTTTTTTTCCAGGGAATTGTAAATGTAGTAAAAGGAGTTTACAATAATAATGTTTGAATTTTTATTATAACCAAACATTATTTTTCAATAAAATTAATTATATAAATTATATGTAATTAATTTTATTATATGATATAATAAGAGAAATTATACTCTGATCTCTCTCTACAAATTAGTGAGGTTGCGGCCAAAGTTTTTGTCTCTAAAACGTGAACGTTGAATGTCGAGTGCCGCTTATGAGATAGCGGCACTCGACATTCACGTTTTAGAGATGAAAACTTTGGCCACGACCTTGCTAATATCTTGAATAAGTATGGTACATTAATACAACTTGTAAAAAAGTGTGAAATATATTGTTCTTTTGTATATCTATACGTTAATAGATTTTTGTCTGTAAAACATATATCTGAAATGGACATTTGAATTATTATAAGATTACATTTTCTACTTTTAATTTTATTATCAAAATAAAAAAAGTTTTAGCCAAATCTTTTCAATTTTTAATTACATAATAAATATGATATTTAAGAGTGTTGTATTGAATAAAATTCTGAGACTCCATTTTTTTTCTTTATAATAATTAAATACTATTTTGTAAAATTGAAGATGTAATAAATTCTGTTTTAATATAATATCATTTTTGTTTTCTCTAGTCTGATAAGTCTAGATTAATTAAGATTAGTCTGTTAACAGAATGCAGTTCAATTTTATTGATCAAGTCTTCAATATTAGAGAAAACTAATTAATAATAATTACATACTGTTATACCAAAAAGTATTTAAATATTATTGATTAGCTTTTTTGGCAAGGATTAAAGAATTTCTCTTTAATAATTTGATGTATCATACTAACCTATGTGATCTGATCTAATGCCTATAATTTATAGAGCTACTCATATTGTTAAGCTTTTATATATAAAAGCACTTTATGGAATTATGATCAAAATGCTTTTTTTTTTTTTTTTTTAATTAATTTTTACAATTTTGTAGTTAATCCTGGATGCAATATATAAACAGAAAAAATGTAAATTATTGAATTACTTTATGTATTAATACAAATTTAACTAGAATTAAAAAAAATTGGAAAATCTAAATGTAATAATGTTTTATGTGATTAAAGATATAGTTATCTTTTGTGAATATGAATGTTAAAATCAGTTTATTCAGAGATAAATTAAATTAAAATATAAGTCATTAAAAACTGTGTAAACTAAAGTAATTTATTTTACTTTATTTCATTTCATTCATTGAGTAATTTTTTCATTGAATCCTTTTAAACCTGTAATCTGGGCCATGTTCAGTAATGCAGAATTCTTGCTAAGTCTAGTTATGCTGCAATGTTGAACTCATTTATAGTTACTGCTTGACTCCTCCCACTGCTAGAATTCTAGCTAGTTCAGTTAGCTTCTTTAATCTATTCTAACTTCTTCTAGTGACATCATTGTTTTTGTCTCTTCATATCATTTGCAAGATGGCTGCTCGTGTTGGTCTAAACATATTTTATTATAACAGTCAGAAAGTTATTCTCTCATTCTAAATCATTAACTCATTCTAAAATGACTTCAAAATATAAAATTATCATATGTTGTTATAACAGATTCCGAATACATTTTAACAGAAGATAACAGTCCATTTCGTTGATTACAATTAATAATTGCTTCATTAATTTCATCACAATCTGACGCAGCTTCCATTTGAATAACTGTATTGTACTTCATTGTTTTCAACCAGTTCATTTGCAACAATTGCTGCAATCATAATTTTAACTTCATCACCATTTTGCCCAGTTGTCTAACAGAATAATCATTCAATGATACTCAGAACATTCTTAGCTTTGCCCATTAAGTCACTCAGAATTCTAACTTAGGTGTTCTGCATTACTGAACATGACCCAGTTATCTTTTATACAAATATTGACTTAGGATAGTTCAGAATGTAAATTTTTTAATGCATGATTATGAAACAATTAACATATGGAAACTTAGGATAGATATTATGCTGAAAAAATGTTAAAATGTGTTGTCTCTTTGAATTTTATATTTTCAGTTCATATTCAGAAAGTAATTTTGTTTTTTACCACCAGAGGAATTAATTCTATTTTTACCCACCAGTTTCATTCTAAATCGTATTGCGATTATACACTGCTGGCCATCCAAAATGCAACACCCTGAAGGAAGCATCCAAATCAAGTAAAATTTGCACCATGCATTTGTGGAAATGAGATATGCAAATGATTAACATTTCAGCACAAATGCACATCATGGGCACCTGTTGCACCATCTGCAAGCACTATATAAAGGGAGAATAGAAGGCCATTTTGAAGTACTGGAATTGTTCTTTTGTGCGTTTTTTTATTTTTTTTTTGCGTAAGCAGCTTCAGTATGCCACGCAGAAGAAAATGAGTGTTTTTCGAGCACATTTCTGAGTTTGACCAAGGAATAATAGTTGCCTATAGGGATTGCGGATTATCCTTCAGAGAAATTGGTGATCATATTGGATGTAACCAAGCAACTGTGATGCGGATCTGTAACTGCTGGATGCAGGTGGGAACAACGGACTGACAGGACCGATTGCACCCACTTCATTGCCCCACTGCATGTGATGACAGGCATATTGTGTGCATGGCAGTGATGGATTGCTGTGCCACATCATGAACCATATCACAACAAATTCGATCTGTTGCGCAACAATCGATGTCTGCACGTACCATTCGACGTCATTTGCAGCGGAGTGGAATGTCCACAAGATGTCCATTGCCGCATTTACCGTTGAGTCAAAACCACAGGCGTTTGCACTGGCAATGGTGTGATGAATGACAGACATGGACAACTGAATGGAACAACATTGTTTTTACTGACGAATCCCACTTCTGCCTGCAACACCACAATGGTCGGATTAGAGTCTGGAGACACCATGGTGAGAGACTGCCTTTTGCATCACCATATTGGTCCTAGACCCAGTATTATGGTTTGGGGTGGTATTGGATTCCTCTCCCGCACCCCCTAGTATGCATTGCCGGTACACTGACCAGCCAGCGCTATATTTCTGAAGTGTTGGAGCCTGTTGTTCTCCCATACCTTCAGAACTTGCCAACAGACACATTCCAACAGGATAATGCACGACCACATGTGGCACGCATTGCTCAAGACTTCTTCACACATCAGATTGCATTGCTGCCTTGGCCTCCTTGTTCTCCCAATCTCTCGCCTATAGAAAATGTCTGGTCAATGATTGCAGAACGACTGGCCCAGGATACACCACCCGCTGTTACACCATATTAACTTTGGCAATATGTGGAAGCAGCATGGAATCCTATACCCCAACAACATATCCAAAGCCTTTTTGAGTTAATGCCGATGCGTGTAGCAGCGGTTACAGCCAGCAATGGCAGCAACACTCCATATTGATTCCATCATCTTCCTCACGTCAAAAGAGACTGTATTTTCAATCATTAGATCTTTGTACAACGTGTTATCTCCCAAATAAATTTGGCTGTGATATCTCTGGTCCTTCTTGGTGTTGCATTTTGGATGGCCAGCAGTGTATATTTTGACAACTAACATTTCAAGGCTTATTTGGAAAAAATTTTGTTTGATTCTTCGCAATTGACTTTTTTTGGTGTCCCATCAAATATGGAAAATCAAAAGCCACATTTTTGGCATAGTTTGCTTTTTTATTAACAAAAAGGTAAGAATGCTGTTCAAGCAAGAAAAAGATTGTCTGACAATTATGGAGATGTGTTGACAGAATGTCAATGCCAAAACTGGTTTACAAAATTTTGTTCCAGCAATTTTGGTATTGAAGATGCATCATGTTCTGGAAGGTCAATTGAAGTTTATGAAGACAAAATAAAGGTATTGATTGAAACAGACTGCTGAATAACAACATGAGAAATTGCTAAGAGATTAAATTTGTTGGATTCAACCATTTATGATCACTTGAAATGACTTTGTTTCATTTCATAGTTTGATATATAGGTTCCACATGTTCTTAAAGAAAGAGATTTGCTCTGCTGCATTGACATCTGTGATTTGCTTCTCAAACATCAAGAAAATAATCCATTTTTGAAGCAAATCATAATGCGATGATTAGTTTCAAAAATGTTGTTTATAACAATGTCAAACACAAGCAATCATGGAATAGAAGAGATGAGCTGGCTCAAAGTACTTCAAAAGCCAATATTCATAAAAAAAAAGAGATGCTCTCTGTCTGGTGGAATTTTAAGGAAATTGTTTTTTCGAGCTTCTACCAGACAATTCCACAATTGATTCAGAAGTGTATTGTTGTCAACTGGACAAATTGAGTGATACCATCAAACAGAAAAGGTCAGAATTGATCAACAGAAAAGATGTAGTGTTTGATAATGCTAGACCTCACACAAGTTTAGTAACTTGCCAGAAGCTGTTAAAGCTTGGATGGGATGTGCTACCATATCCACCATATTCGTCAGATCTGGCACTCTTGACCAGAAGAGCGACTCCATTGTTAACTTTCTGGATATTTCCATTACGTGCAAGCAAGGGGAGATTGGACCGATATTTACTGTAAACCCTGCTTTCAACCCGTTATCATCCCACGCCAATCAGTCGATCCCAAGCTTATCAAATTGGTGGTTTTCAGATCATGGATTAAATGTGCTTATACTCATTGTACAAGTTTATATGACAGGATAAGAGAGCTAGAGTACATTCTTAAGATAGCCCAACTACACGGATATCCAAAGGAAGAGATAAAGGATTTTATTTCATCCTTC